AAAAATGTTCTCATTTATAATTACTAATTTCCAATCGACCTTACATTTTTTTATGCGCTTAATAACTACATTTATCGATGCTTACATTTCTTATGCTAATAACGATCAAGCCACAGGCTTAAATAACATCGCAGTTATTTTGGGCCCTTATATGTAATGTTTTTTAAAAATTAGGCCCTTATATGTAATGTTTTTTAAAAATTAGGCCCTTATATGTAATTATTTTTAATTTGGGCCCGTATTTGTAATTAGTTTCACTTTTCGAGCCCTTATATGTAAATTCCCCCTTGATTTTATCATATGTACACCCTAACCCTAACCCTAATTTAACTAGGAAATTCAGAATCTACTTAAATTCCATTCCCACTTACAACATATATATTATAATTTTTTCTTTTTAATCTCAAACTTTTCTTACTCATAATTTCTTGTTTTTAGTATTACAACATATGGATTTACACTGCAGCGTCATTTTCTGTAAGCTTTGGTGGAATAGGAAATACAATCCTTTATATTATTTATGAAAATTGGAAAAATCAAAACGATAATTCATTAGCAAACTCTGACTGTTCTACCATTTTAGTCAAAATAATAATAGAAGTACTAATATTAAAATAACAAAGAAAATAGCGGTCACATCAGAAATTCCATCAATGAAACTAGCAGTTACACCAATGAAACCGATGTTGTTATCAATCGAACTACATAGTCAAGGTAATGAAATATCTTTAATCTATATATTCAATTCTGAGTGTGTGTGCTTTAACGCTTTTGATTGGTTGTTAAATCTAAATCTATCCCAAAAATGTTATAGTTATTAGTCATGGCACTTGCTAATTGAGTAAACAATGTACCTAAATTTCCAAAACAAATAATTGTTTGAAAAAAAAATTTACGTATTGGTATGTAGGGAATGTATATTGGTCATAATTATAGTCATGGTACTTGCTAATGAGTAAATATATCTAAATTCCCAAAACAAATAATTGTTTGAAAAAAGATTATGTATTGGTATGTAGGATTGTAATGAGTAAACAATGTATCTAAATTCCCAAAACAAATAATTGTTTGAAAAAAAATTATGTATTGGTATGTAGGATTGTATATTGGTTGTAACTAGTGATGCAAACGGCTAGCTTCGGCTTAGCTATGGCTTGATATCATGTGAGCTGAGCTGCTTTTTAGCCGAGCTGCTTTTAGCCAAGCCATTCTTTAGCCGAGCTAACAAGAGCCGCAGCTCCAATTTGATTACCGTTATCGTTATAAAAAAATATTTTTAA